ACTTATTTCTAACAAGATAATCCTGGTGGAACTCTATTTTTGTGTCGTCAATCAAATCTTTAACGTCCTAAAATTAAGTCTTGCCGCAGACCGTGCCCTTGCTCAAATGTGAAGAGAGTGTCGGCCATTCTGGTCACGCACCGCCACACTGCCACTGTGTTGAGGCAATGCACTGCAACGCCTACTATTTCGAACCAAGTGTTACGTTTCGCAAAAATAATTTTTAGGCAACTTTATTTGGGATTTCTTATTAAATAATAAACTTTTCATACCCTCACCTTGGGGTTTGGCAGCCCGAGGAGTAATGCTCGTTTTATTGTTTATCACTGATGAAAATATACTATGCAAAGTGTTGAGTGTTGTTGACATGAGTGATAGTGACGCTATAATGTGCGTTTTGACTGAGCTTGAAGCTTGCAATAGCATGTAATGTGCTTGTATATGTGATCATCTAATTCTGCACGTCTCCTAACCATGTTGTATGCGGTATGTGCGTATGCTTCACAAACAAGAGACCACCCAAACTGTGCCAAACATGGAATTGAAGAATTGGAAACTAAAATGACGATGCTGTCTGTAGCATTTTATTTTTAAACTGACCTAATTTTGAAATATAGAAATAAAAGTAAATATGAAAAATCACCACTTATCCCCTTCTGTAAAAAGTTCATGATCCTGCTTTCATGCATAAATTTGAACGAGACTTTTACATTCTAGGCGTTTAAAAAGTAAGTGCGCTTGAGATTACTTAATCCCAACACTGAACTTGGACTCTATTTACTGAATTATTTAAAGCCACACTTCTTGGTGAAATCAATCCTCACGACAAGAATTCAGGATTGGTTGTTCTCATACGGCCAACTACTTCAGACAGTCAATTTTCACTGCATTCACCTGTTGTTGTTTGTGATGTTCTTTTCATGAGGTCATCAAAATCTCTTCCCTAAAAAAATTTCCCATTTTATGTGTGTCCTCGATCCGGTTAAAGTGGATTAGTAGTCAACGCGACCCGGGGTTACCAATTGTTCTTTTTTTCGGGACAAATTCCACAATTTAGTTGGTTTCAATTGCGTTGGCTGGCTAAAATCTATGATGGCGGTACTTCCTTATTAAATTATGAGACATCGAAAAAAAGTAGAATGGATTTTTTACACCGGAACCTACAAATGTACTGGTATATATTGAGTTATAGACCTTTTTTGGCCTTTTTTGTTAGTGGACTTGGCCGTTTTAAGGCCATCTGGCAACCTGGTCAACGAAACTGTTGTGTGCAGGTACCGTACCGTACATGCATTGGTGCTGCAGGTTCTCGAAATCCCTTGAGTTCAGATTACGGTGAGACACCTACACTCTAACCGTCGTCCCCCAGGCTTAGAGCCGTGCAAATGTACCCACCAGTTTTGGATGCACGCATTATTTCAAACTGGTTGAAGATGTCTGAAATATTGTCTAGTGTTCGCGTACCTTAACTCTGAAACCTATGAACAAGGATTTCCTCCTCAGCAAAGATATTTGATTCCATTCTTACTTAATTTTTATTAACAGTGTCCACAATTTAATATTTGGGGAATCTTTATCGCCTAAGATGTGAGGACAGTTATTTTTAGCCTGAAAACTCGTGTATTATTGACTAATATTATGATTTAGAGATAATTTAATCAACTCTCGCTGTAGAAGGAAGATAACGATGAAAATATATTTTACCCTGGCGAATTGAGTAAAAAGCTGCTTTATTATTATTTTTTTCTTTGAAAAAGAGAGAGAGCTAGATAACGTTTAGTTGCTGCTGTGTCATCGGAGAGCCTCTATTGGAGGCATTAAACCTCTAGATATTTGAACAAAAAAAATTAGTTTGGAGGCATTAGACTCCTAGAGATTTAAAGTAAAAAATAGCCACAGTTTGGTCATTTTCGTGTTTGGGCCTGACCAGCGGAGCGGACGCTGCTCAAGCGATGCGTGGGCGGGCCTGCAAGCCTAAATAGGCTACAGCTGCACGCGTATCTTGGCTACAGGTTTAGCTGCTGCTAATGCACGCTGCTGCTTCCAAACGTTTGGTGACCTCAACTGGAATGATAAAATGTCATCAGAATTGTTCATTTTTTATTGTTAAAATGTATTACGGCCTGATTTGCAGTTGAATGTTTTTCGGCCTGGTTTGTTGTCGATGACTGCGTGACTTAGTAAGGATGGTCTTGCTGAGACAAAAATGTTGATGAACACATCAATTTTATCGTCGATGCATCTAATCATAGACGGTCTCGATAGCTGACAAACTTGAAATAATAATTTATTCCTAACGAAGTTGACTGTTTACCCAAGCGTTTTTGTCCTAACCGACCAAACTGGGTGTTTAGTATTCTGATATCTGTATATCAAGGGTATATGTATTTTAATTCACCAATTCTATTGTTCTGTTTATTCAGGAAGGAATTTAATGCCGCCCGGTGCTGTCCTATATCTACGTGCACATGTCGGTCGCTACTGGCTGCTCCGTATCTGTGCCGCGCTAGGAGGCGGAACAATGCGTTAGCGCGTCGTTAATCGCTCACAGTTCCTGCCCGTCGGCGCGCGGCAATTATCCTTGGAATTAGTATCCCTGCATGCTGAACCTTGCAGACGAAAGAAGGTCTGATTTTTTCATGACGAACAATGAATTTTTAAATTTGTATACTGAATGATGTTTTTTATCCTCCTGCAGGTATTCAAAACAAATGTCCCAGAGAGATAATAATTTTAACTTGGTTGCCTAAGAAGTTGAAAAACTCGTATTCTAGGGATGATTTGGGGATTATTTATAATCATTTATAAATATCCGAGTTCGACTTAGTTTTTCCTTCGATTTTTTTTTAATTAAGTGTTTTACCTCACATTTCGTTCCTCCTTTCATACATAGTTTTCAAAAGTGAAAAGTGAATAATTTGGGTTTATTTCCTTGAATTTTATTTTTGATGATGATAATCTCCGAAATCATATTAATCGAGAACATAAATTATTATTATTGCTTACTGATATCGTACACATCGACTTGAAATTTTCGTCAATAAAGTTCTTGAGTCCTTCGAGCTACAATGACCTTAGCGTTGATCTATGCATAGCATGCATGTATAGTCGTTATGCCTTACGTCGTCGTATGATTGTATTCTTATAGAGGCTCTGTTTAATTCTTATATTCGTAGGAATCACTTATTCCTATGTGAGTTAAAAAATTATTTTATTATACATGTGCTGTTTCGTTTTGCTTTATTTGAAGTACTGCCATTACAATGGAATTTTGTATGTTTATTGTTTTGTTATCTAATTGATACTACTACTAACTATTTTGTTATCTAATTGATACGTAAACGAGATTTTTTTTAACCGAGTGCATGTTGTTGGTCGCACAACCTTTTAGCGTGGCTACTAACAACAAACATTCCTAGATTATGTACATCAAGAACCAGATTCTAATATAAAAATCTGTTCTGTGTATCCGCAAACTGATTTAATTACTCATTCTTTCATTAGTGACCTCATCATGTATAGGTACCTAATTTGCGATTTTTCTACCACTAGTCATGTTCATTAGACGAATTCTGCAAGTTCTAGTAATTTTCCATCGAATTGGGGAGCACGATTTGCGCAATCGTCCAAAATAGCCAAAAGAGCGTCGTTGAAATTGTTCTTTATTTATCGTTCCTTATTTTTGAGATATTTTGAGGAACTCCCAAAATTTCACGGAGTAGAATGAGCCTTTCCTCCGAAAATTCCGCGAAAGAATATTTGTTTTACTAATTATTCTTGAGAAACTGATGCCGCTTCTTATCTTGTGTATCATTAAAGTTTCCCAATTGGTTGGCACGCTCCCAACGAATGTACAATTTATATCAGTTCAGGCTGCAGGATTTCTTGCCAGTCTATGATTGCAGAAAGACCCATGGTCACTGCGTCGTGGTCTGCGTGTAGGTGCAAGGAAGGCCATGTAGGAAGGTGTTGATAATGCACGATCTCGTAAAGCAGACTAGTGGAAGATAGTAACATGCATACGCGTGTAATAGTGGAATATCTCTTTTAGAGGCTCATTCAGAAACATGAATATGTCACTCACAGTGTCCATTGAATGACACTCTTTCTCACCCTCAGCATGGGCAGAGAGCGGACTTAGCGCTGCTACGCTTTTTTACGAGCACAAACTGATAAGGATTACCCACTCCAGGCAAAAATTGCTTTGCTATTTGGACAATATCTGACTCAATTCTCTGAGAATACAATCTGGATGAAGATTGAGCACGTGCTGTTAAAATTTGTCGCGCTATAATAATGCTTGTGTTGAGTTTCTATTGATATTTTTCTACTCATTTCAAAGCAAGAAATCATTCACTCTCCATGCCTAATCAATTCCGTGATGAAGAAAGCATAAGATTAAGTGTTAGCGTGTACAGTTTGCGCTCCCTGCTTTCTCACTACAGCTTCTCCCCACGCGAAGAACTCGTCCGCGCTCCACTTGACTGCTGAGGCCTAAACTCCATTGTTGACGCGTGTGTTCTCTCTCATCTCTTCTTGTACGATAGCAAGCGTGGGATTAGACCTTACGAACTTACATTTTATGAGTTTCATGGTCATATTAATATTGCGATGAAAGGGCTTATGTTTAGTTACAATCGCTGTACCTCTTTATACGAGCTCAATTGTTTCGTAGATTAGTCTTATACAAACAATTTCATCTTTACATATCATTATTCAGAAGAAAGATTTCATTTGTCTCATCAAATAATACCCAAAAATCGACGTGGTCAATTTTTTATGCTGCTTTAAATACTCAATAAATTAAAGTTATAATCAAGCCCAAACTATTGTAATCCCAATGGGTGCCATTTCCGTAATTTTCATATACGAATTGTTAATTCGTCCTTTTTTACCTATACCACTAACCCTTTCTAAAGTTATAGTTCCCAACAGGATGCGATTGAATTGATATTATAATATTCATCTACATTAAATAATTCAATTATTCTTCCTTTCAGTTATAATTGTCTAAACTCAAAGCTTGCTTCTTCGTTACATACTTTATCCAAGAAAGATTTTATTCAGAATAGGATCATCTTTTCCCAAACGAAAGCGAAGCTCATCTTATCGCAACAAAATTTTACAATCAACCTGCCAAATGCAGACTTGAAGCGCGAATTTGTTACTGTTAAAATATTTTATTCGTCTGTATTACTACTTGAACATTAGATTGAATAATTGTTAGCCGAGACCAATAACTATGTTGAGATTTCAAAGTGTGGTGCTATGCGTGATGGCTTGGCTGGTAGCGATGCGAGCGCCTTATGTCAGCGGTCACGGCAGACTCATTCAACCTCCCGCTCGCTCTACTGCATGGAGGTGAGTTGTCTTCAACTTCAATTTGTACAAAGAAATTAGGCAAATTTAGAATGTGTACTCTTTCACTGACTTCAGCTGCGAAAATCCGTCCATTGTGAACTGAAAACAATGTCACTCTGTATTTTACCGGAGAATTAAAAGAGAAGAAGACGCCAAGTAAATTCACCATATCGTCATTGGAAAGTTGAAAAATGTGTTTTCATGTCCATTGATGTCGATGAAGATATACAGAATTTACTAGGCGTTCTCATTGATTTTAGATTCTCGATAAACTTGTGATTTAAACAGGCTAATGATATAAGTACTCATATACTATTTTATTTCCGTTTCTACAGTAAACAGAATCTTAACAGCTTCCAAAATATTCATTTCTTGGAGAAGATTGAGTGTGAAAAATAGTGGAGGATATTGAGATTGAAACTGTTCTTTTTTTATGGGTTATAAACCGCTCTGAATTCCGTTAAGCTATTCTGATGTCCGAATTTTTGCAACAGATGTCCCATGCCTGTTAGATTTAATTTAAAATGCAATCTGCACATACATGGAAAATTTTTTTTTACCATTCGTTCTCCGTGGTCTCCTGGGGCTTTTGTATACGCGGAATGGAAAATGAAGCTTCCTCTTGTCACTATACCATGACCAGAATATACCAGCTGTTGACGATGGCGTCTGTTCATAAGGAGCTACAGCCCATCACTTTACTGTTATGCCGAGCGTTGCACGAATGCGATAAGTGCATCTGTTGCTATTGCGTGTGCTTACGCCGTTCGCTTTCTTGAAACCGTTCCTTATTCGTACAGGACAAACGCATGCATCCTGTCCTGACGAACATTGATTTTCGGAGAGATATATAATTTGTAAACGTCCACGGGCAGTGTAAAGGCTAATTGTTTATTATTGTGATAAGGTGATTACTGCTTCCTATTGATTGAGGAAAAAATTGACAGCCAGTAGACAAGGCATTATAGTTCTTTTATGTTTTTTTGCTATGGTTCTTTATTATTATCGACAAATTTAATGTACAATTAATTGGTACACGTCAAGCATTAAATACGTCAAGCATTAAATACGTCAAGCAGTAAATACGTCAAGCAGTAAATACGTCAAGCAGTAAATACGTCAAGCAGTAAATACGTCAAGCAGTAAATACNATACAGGCTAAATCTCATTCGCGCTAAATGATTTTCGTTTCATGCGTCGCGGATTCTGTGCTTCAATTCAACATTCCAACTCTGACGAAACTTGACCTGCTCTCGTTTGTTTCTGCTTGTCACAATTCAGCTGCATATACACCGACAATACACAATAGGCTTTTATTTTTTCAAGAAACAAGCGCGATGTATGCGCAAGACGCTGCGTTTCTCCCCACGGCTGCGTGCCGGCGGCAGTAGCACGCGCTTCCCTGCACGTACGTCTTGCACGCGATTCCAGCGATCGACCGCTACTTCAGCGTGGTCACTATAGAGGCAACGTGTATGCAAAACTATGCGCACGCTTTCCAAAACTTTCTTGCTAGTTGTTAGTGCAAACCAATTGCGTATTAGCTATAAAAATATTATACATATTCAAAGTAAAGTAATCTAAAATTTTGTTTATCTGTTCGGGGGTTTTGTTATTTGAGGTTGGTGCTATTCTGGAGAGTTGAGTGCTCTCAAGTTCACATGCTCTGAAAATTGTTTTCCGGTTATTGGGTTTCTGCCATCTTCCTCAAACGGGTACTCGCACTACAAGTGAGCCAAGTTTTCGAATATATGGCGAATAATTAAAGCATCTATTCCTGGAAACAATTTATTCTATTTGGAAGTATAGGAAATTTTTTATTTACATCTAGCAAAATTATTGTAAGATACCGCACTATTAGACTGCTTTAACTTTTATTTACTAAAAATGTATTGGTACAAGTCAATTAGTTATGTACTTCAAGTTGTCTAATATTCATCATTTATAGTTTTCATTGCGGAGAACAGAGACCATCATTTGTGTTGTTTTCGTTAGTGTTAAGAATGACTGCTGTCATCACACTATATGTTCCAGGCATGTTTCCTTATTCAAACGTTGCTTGGTTTGAATTGTATGTCACAATCACGCTTACTTTCTTTTTCAATGCAACCAGGTATGCATCCGGTTGACCTCATCACCTACACGTGCTGTAGAGTGTACACTCTGCTGCACAGAATATCATTCAAACAAATGATACGCTAAATCGGACGAATTACACTGCCATTCGCCGGCGATGCTTTGTGAGTTTAGCTGTTTAGCAAGACGTTGCTCAGAAGGAAAGTGTAAGGCTATAATGTTACATAGGATACCTAACCTGCGTTAACATACGAAAAAAACTCTCCGTTTATTTTATAAACAATTGTTTGGCTAGCGGATTAAATTCGGGATCTGCGAATTCCTAAAAGTGGATTGCATTGTTTATGAATTAGCAGTCTATGCGCACTGCAGCTCTGGCGTCACAGCGCTGGCCCAGTTAACGAAGTGGGCCGCTGCGACCTGGGCTGCGTGTAACGGTATACCTGCTCAGAAAGTCTCCGTGCCTGTATATGTAGAATACACTTAACTCTAGAAGTGTGCTCTTCAAGGCTGCCGGTTGAAACTTCTGATAAAGTGATTCTGCTGTTATAATTTTCAGTTTTAATTTACATATTTAATGCTGATGCTTCAAGGTTCTGAATTTCATACTCATTTACAGTGAAACCCTTAGGCACCTTACCTTGCTAGCGTGCCTAGAGGAATTTTCTTGTGAACTCTTGCACACATCAGCCGCCGTGTGGATAAACAGACTTTTAATGCAGTTAATTACATATACAAGGAAAATCTGTGATTTTCCTTGTAAAATTTTTAAATCCAATTACATTTCACTTTTTTGTGTCTGTGCGCTTCACAATTACAATAGGCCATTACGCAAATGAAGATGTCTGCCAAGCCACTTCCATATGAACGATCCGAAAGCATTATAATGCAGTCCGTTTTTTTTATACTCACCTCTTAACTCGAACATCAGCACATTATAATAGGACGGATGTTTGAATTCGAAGATTCATGTTCGACTTTAATGGACATTCTTCTGTGTAAATCATTTCATATTTATTTATTTTTTTTCGTGTTATTATACGATGTTATTTTGATGTTTATATGAAATACATACATGTATGAATTAAAACATGGCAGCCTAGACGCGTTAGCGACTGCACTCATTTTCACAGTTATGAAGTCACGTCCTGTTATTGTGAACCTCTCTGCAATATGCCTTGCACATTCATGCGTTATACATAGTTCATAACTAAGAAAACTCCATTGAAGTTAGATGATTAACAAAGGCAAAACTTTATATGTATTTTATTCATTCACATTAGTGTCATCTTCATCTCCGACACTCCACAATACTGCACACTTCCTGCAGCGTAAACTATCATGCAAACGAACAATGCGTTGATCTAGTCAAGCAACACTACTGCTTGTCGGCCGGCAGAAGGTAATTTACTCAAGTTATTTTTTATCTCGTGTAATTTTCAAAATTAATTTTCTGTTAACAATTAATTGTCCCTGACAATGAGCTACTGTTTAGTTAATGCATTTGTTGTGTGTGACAATTTACAAGCAATTAATTACATCAGAAGGGCCGAAAAAAGACCTTTGGGTACAATTTCTGTATTCATGGCCTAATGATGAATAATATCATATTAGGAGTTCAGTTCCCTCTGTTTAAAATTCTATCTTCTTATGTCCTGAACGGTTTCAATATTGTAATAAATGTCACGCCAGCTGCCAACATTTATGGCACTAAGCACGCATGATACAATGTAGACTAAACTAATTACCTAAAAGAAGTAAGACATTTAATTATTTAACAGTATGAGCCAGCGGTGCATATCAGTTAATTGCGTGGGTTAAATAGCAGGTTAGTTCGGTTCGGCTGAGTTCTGCATATCGTGTCGGGTAACCAGTTAGCCCGGTTCGGATAGAGAAGATGTTTATGATCACAACAAAACTGTAAGCAAGTTTATTACGCATTGACGTTATCGATATACTTCATGAAGCTTCCGAGGTAAAAGCATGGTAAAGTGGATACCAAGCAAACGCACGCTCTATTTCGAAGCAAATGCCGGGCGTTTGCTCCTGGTATATAGGAGCTTAATTAAAATGCGATGACTTCAGGCTACAAGCGCGCAGAAGCTCGCGCAGTCTAAAACTTAGATTACTATTTTCATTTAATTTTTAAAATTAGATTATTATGCTAGATTATTTCATGCGAATTCCAAGTTTGTTACAAGTAGGCGAGCAGTCCTTCGGGCTCATGCGCATGCGTGCGTCATATCTGTGTTCAGTGGCTTGCAGATTGACTCAAAGTAGGGAGAATTTCCTCGCTGTCTCCCGCAGTCTTTTTTGCTCAAGTTTTTGACCGTTTTGACCAGCCGTTGTTTCTAAAGGAACTTAAGCATTAAACTCATTGGGATATGAGTTAAAAATATCTTTAAAAAATGTCGAGTTTATAGTAGCTCACGTTGCATTAGTCTATCTATTTATTTACTTAATTCTAACGTTATTATTAGAAAATGCATCTGATAATGCAAGCGCCTCGTCACTTGTTCCAGGCATATTTTGATCTTCTTACAAAAATTTCTCCCATTTGATTCATTTAGGTCTCATTTTCAATGTAAATTTTCAGGTTTTTCTCTTTTAGCAGACTAAGTTGTCATTATCATTAGCACAATTATTCAATAGTGTACTTGCAAGTATTTTGTTTAATTTATGCATTGTATGTACGCTGCGCATAATGTTTTACGACATAAATTTTTCTTTATTTTGTTTAATTTTAAAATGTTGAACTTTTTCAAGTGAAATATCTGAATTCAAATTACCTTCAAAGTGTTTTCCATGAATCATATTGACGATACGTCGTATTCCAGGTACGGCTTCCCGACGCCCGTCAACTACAACGACCACGAGACGTACTGCGGCGGCTACGGCCGTCAGTGGGGCGTCAACAGGGGCAAGTGTGGCCCGTGCGGCGACCCTTGGGACATGCCTCAGGTAACCAACTTTTTAGCATTAATTTAAAAATATATTTTTTTTACCGTTGCATTCATTTCTTTTTATCTACTCTCTGAGCACCATGATGAGTCCTTGGGTTGTTCATACGACCGCTATTTAATACATTTACATATACCCAGAACTGAATCAGAATAAAATTGTTGTAACTTGCTATTTTTCCATTAAATTTTACTTTTAAAATGTAACTTGAATAAATTTTACTTGAAAGACTTATTTTTTGCATCAGGTATGATATAAAGTTGAACCCTTTTAGGAGTTAAAATGATGCACTTAATATTTTTTTGACAAACAACATCACATGAATATGACGTTGTAGCTTAGACGTTTCAACTGTCTTAGCAAAAATCGCACTCAACATGCGCGTCACTTTTGTACGATTTCCCACGATGCGCTGCGAATCTCACGCCATGAACGTCGTACGTTTCTCCTATATTCGAAGAAAATTCTTCATGTGTCTCTCATCTGCGGCTCATCTTTGGGTTCGCTTGATGAATCTTCCATTGAAGTGTAATCGTAACGAGCGTCGAGTCGCACGAAACCGCCGACTCTTCTGCTTAATGTTCAGCGCGCCAGCTTCCAGTGAAAGGAAGACCCTTCAATGCGTCTTTGTTTCAATATCGTACCACGTACGCTTCGCTATTTACCATCATGAGAGTTGCGAGCAAAAACTTACTTGAACAAACATGATGTCGTTCTTACGTTTCACGAATGAGAATAAATGCCCCCGTTTTTATTTTTATTACAACGTACGAAATATCAAATTGCAATAATTACTAAGATTTTAAAAACTTGGAACAGTAATGATGACGTCATTTACGTGAGAAAATCCTTGCCACTTTTAAGGCAAACAAGCAGACGCGTCATTCAATTTTGATTTTGGTCTTGTGCAAGGCTCTTTTCGTCGTAGGTTAGAATGTTCGTTGCTTTCATCGAAGCGTTTTTTCCCCTTCAATGACTCAACCGGAGATTTATCGCTCGCAGTCACGATAATGTATCACCAAAGCTCCATTACAAATCTTAGTTATTCCTTCTAATGTATCACCAAAGCTCCATTACAAATCTTAGTTATTCCTTCTAATGCATCATTGAAGCTCCATCTTCACTCGAAGCACATCACCATATTCACTCTGCACTCACTGATCATTAGTTTCTTACATTACATCTTGGTACTATTTATCGTCATAAACCGGAAGTCCGCTGGTCATTGACATATACGTTAGTCAACATCTGTACACGTACACGTTGTGTGCGCATATACGTTAGTCAACATCTGTTCACGTACACGTCGTGTGCGCATGTTGATGTACGCGTACACGTCGTGTGCGCATGTTGATGTGCGTGTAGACGTCATGTGCGCATGTTGATGTGCGCATGTTGACGGAATATTGCCCATCTAGTGAAGTGTTAAGCTGTGGTGGCTTCTAAAGACCCGTGATGATATTCACTCTCAGCGTACGAGTCTGTGGAGACATTTTTTTACATTAATATAAAAATAAATGGTTTGGGTAACGATAGATCGATGGAGGCCGGCTTAACCGACGGGTTCTAGCTGTATAAAATATACAACTGTGATGAGTAACTTTCTCTTCCCATTTTTAGTTTGTGATCTTCAATTCCATGCGGTTGGCCTCCTAACATTTTTTTGTAAAGTTTTTATCACCACACGAATATTAGCTCGTTTTTAGTGTATACCAATTATTATAATGCAATATTACACCCACGATAAGTATAGAGTTTTCTGTTCAGTTCATTCTGGATCAAAAATATCCCGTAACAATCCCCAACACTATTTCTTCATGGTTACTTTGGAAAATAATAATGGCTTAAAACCTCTTTTGGCAACAATGCTCAATAGAAGATTGCACCAATTAACTCGCAAACATTCTCAAAATACCTGAAAGTAATATAAAAATTTATTATTTTTTTATTAAATCACATTATTGAAGTATTAACCATGAGACTCTGAGTTGCGCACCCATACTCTTCAGAGAGTAAAGCAACGATATTTTTATGACTGAAAGCGAAACTAACAACCGCAAGATGTACATGAGGTACGCGCTTCATTGAAACCAGTTTTTGTGTTGAGGTCTCGCTCCTGTGCTACCACCACACGTCATTGTACGCTTGATGACAAACTTCCTGTGACGCTTGCTTGGTGATGGTACAGGCTGAAAATCTTGCGCAGGCACTTTCACTTCATTACACAAACTGCTGAATTTGGTTGACGAATCTTGCTTGATGAATTCGTGAGTCCATCGGTAAATGGTTTGAATTTTTTACACGACCATTTGATCATAGATGATCATAACGATAATTTATTGATTGTTAAGCCTCGTGATTAAGAGAGTGTAGGGAACATGCTCTTCTGTTGACATCTACTTACCCTACTTGACGTGCAGCCTCGCGACAACGAAGAGGGCGGCAAGTACGGGACTGGGGTGATCACGGCCACGTATAAGGAGGGAGCAGAGGTGGAACTTGGTGTCGAACTCACCGCCAACCACCAGGGCTTCTTTGAGTTCAGGTTGTGTCCCAATAACAACCCATGTACATGAGGTACATGACTTAACACCAGTGCTTGTGGTACAGGTACTACCCACCCCCCGGCACCCGCAAGATGTACATGAGGTACGCGCTGCCGTCCGGCCTGACGTGCACGCAGTGTGTCCTGCAGTGGCGCTACGTCGCCGCCAGCAACTGGGGCGACTGCGGCAACGGCACCGGCAGGATGGGCTGCGGTCCGCAGGAGGAGTTCAGGTGCGTTGCAGAGCTTGGTTTTGGTGGTTAGGATGTGTTAAAATCAGCTGGAGTTCAAGTATGTTTGTTGTGATTGATAATCACGATTGGCATGTGTTACGATCCGCAGGACGAGTTAATGTACGTTTGTCTTTGTTGTGCTTGGTTCTGGTGGTTGGTTCGTGTTATGGTGCGTACGACGATTTCACGTGAGACGTTAATCTTGGTTCTTTTGGTTAGAGTGTTAAGCGGTTACTGAATGGCTTCAATATTAGTGCAACATATTTCTAAAGGCTATGATAGTGAAGTTTGAAAGCATTATGACATTCCTGTTTTTGTTTCACGTATTTAGTTAGCTTCTCGTTTGTTTCTCATCGTTTCTCAGCGTTGGAAATGAGTTTTCCCGATTCGTATGAAATAATAATTTTGTTTTATTAAATTATTGAGCTGCATAAACTGTCTTCTTTCACATTGCTCGACTTTATTTTAGGAATAGAGTTGCTTCCTTGAATTTCTCTAGTGAAAACCGTCCCATTTGGATCGCCACAATAATTGCTGAATTCAATGTAATAAATCTCTGTGAATTCATAAATAAATTAAGTCCTCTTGAAACCAGGAGTTTCGTTACAAATCTTTCCTCAAGTGATCTTCAACTCAACACCTAACAATGTCCCTCATTTCCACAGAGCATGCGCTGACATCTCAATCATCAGCGACGACGGCACAGCGAACAGCTCTCCTGCGGCGCCCGTTGACGTGACCGTCAGTCCTGTGGACGAAGATTACAACGAAGTCGACACAGGTCGTCTGCATGAGCAAGAGGCACACCAGCTCCAGGAGTCCAATTACATCGGTCATGTGGTGGCGCTGACCCTGGCATTTGTGCTGCTGCCTTTATTATTGTTGGCACTTGTCATTTATTTCTATTTCGCAAGAGAGAAAGTCAGGAAGTTCGTCCGGAAGAACTTGGACTGCTGGAAAAAGACCGTTGGAGGCGTAACTGTCCCAGAAGGTAAGCTTTTTCCTGGAAATGTAGGACCGTTCCTCATTCCTAAACATCAGCAAGTATAAGCGCTATTTCGTCATCGATTAGTTTGTCCAGGGAAATATTTCAGTTTAACGGTCTCTTTTTTCTTCAAAGAATTGTCTGTAAGGAATACGTTTTCAACTGTTAGTTGAAAACGTTGTTAGGAATACGCTTTCAACTGAGACAAAAATAATTCGCCCACTAGGGAAATACGGACACAATAAAAGTCTTCATTATTGTACGCGCATCCCGATAACTAATTCTTCACAACAAATTTTTCATGCAGTTGTACATTATACGCACTTCACTTGAGCTTGGAATTGCTCGATCTAAGTTTTATCCTGAAGTCATACCTTTGCTTGTGATGTCACTCATGTTATGTGAGGGAATAAAGCTTGTGTATTAATTATTTTGATCATGTATATAGAAATTATATTTTTTTATCTAATATTTTTTCACTTCAAAGTCATTATTGCATTTGCCTAGAATTCTATAAAATTTTCGTTCCATAGGGCCGTTGGATGGCGTTGATCCAGGATTATTGGAGGCCAAGAATCCCAACAGAAGTTCACTGGAGTTCCCAAATCATCCCTACGGGGCTGCTCCCACAGCTCCTCCCCGCCGCAACAGGGGACGCTCCCCGAGCGTCTCCTCAAACCGAGGGGAAGAACAATCGGCTTCCCCAAACCCCGTCTGAAGATTTCGTTCTTCCCTGAGACCAAAGAACGTCTGAGTCATCCTGGGCCTCTTCCCGAGTATAGACTGTTCGATGGATAGCTATAGTTTGTTACAATTGTTGTGTAATAATTAGCATATTTTTATCCCGCATATTGTATCGTGAGATCTTTGTCAGCATTAACCCGAAGTAACTGAGTAATCACAGAGCTAAACCACCCCATTTTAATGGTGCGTGGTCATTAGACTACATAGGGCATGCGTTGTCCTGGCGCACAGTTCTCTCCGGTCCCCCTTACAATTCCTCAAAAGTTTCAGAACATTGTGGAGACTGAATTAATGATATTCATTACTAGGTCTCGAGGAATCGCTTTAATAATATGTAATTTTCGCCCATCTTTTATTGCAATAAGACATCAGTGTTGTGAGTGGTTTCCTTGATAAGAATGCATGGTAGAGCAGGTGCTCCTTGTACACCAATATTTTAGATTCACTAAAGACGTATTCTAGAATATCGACTGTAAATGCTTGGCAAAGTGGAGATTCGCACTGTCTCCTATGTAGATATGATTATTTTATAAAGTGTTAATTTATTCCGTGATGTCTGATTAATCTAACTTATTGTAAGAATTACATCTCATGAAAATAGGTGCAATTATGTTGACAATAACCAATGGATACTTATTTGTAATACTATTTGTATCTACCTTCACATTTGTGCGAATATACTCAATGGACAGAAGTTTTTCAACCGAAAACATTTCATCCTGAAGCATGTTAACAGACAGCTCGTCATCTTTTTCCGAATAAACTGTATAAATACTTCTATTGAGATTTCTTTATTATAGTATGTTTCGACTTGAAATGCTTGAAGAAATGGTGATATTTGATGGGGCGATATCAGGACCCCAACGAAGATGTCCTCAATTTTCATGATTCAGACTCGGTCGCTTCTACGACTTCGGCTGCACCTCTCGTATTTTAAGAATAAAATTGGTACTTTCTTATTCTCGTTAAGTGTAGAGTCCTTTATATAATCGGCAGGCATATCAGATACACTCGAGTATTAACATGCGCACAAGAGCGAAGCCTACGTAAACTTTATAGTGAAAGCTACTCTAACGACATTTAGTTGAAACGACAGTATAATTAGTGACAAGAAGTGTTGGTCGAAGGCATTTCGAAATTAATTATCATGCATTTGTTTGCGTCAGATAGAACACACATCTCAAAGTCATATTTCGCTCTATACATTCCTCGAAGGAATTGGTGTGAAAAGGTTGAGGACCCTTCAATCGGAAAGTTGTTGGTGTTTCTTTCTTTTCACAGTACCTACATTTAGGCGCGCAAAAGCGAAACGATAATTTTCCTTGTATGTTGTCAAATTGGCTTACAAAATACAACTACTGTAGATACACAAATGTATTTAATCTTGTCATGAAAATACAATCTTACTCGAACAATCACATCTGAGGCATGTGAGGGAAAACCCAACAATCAGACATAGAGGCAGGATCTTCTGAGCGGTGCACGACAAATTTGGTCGAGAGAGCTTGCGCCAAAAATGAAAGTGCGGAAACGAACTATTTGGATGTTCAAGGAATGTAAGAAGTTTGATAACAAGTGTCATCTGTGACGCTTCATTACTGAATTTTCAACTGTTTCTTCCGTAAGAAACGTTTCTGAGTCCACAGTCAGTCATCCACAAGACATTCCAGAACGCCGATGGGCCACCAAAAAACAAAGCAAGATTTAGCTCAAAGGACGACCTTACCTATACCTTCCTTTGTTGCCAAGTGCCAATGATCCAGGGTTCTAACAACATATTGCAGACTATATGCTAAGATACAAACGGTGATGTTGACATCCGTATAAATACTATATGTATTATTTGTATTTCGTTTCAGCTCTTGAATGAAAATTATGAAGCTAATTGTAGCAAATGAATTTGACTTAAGTTAGAAAGATCATTATACAGTTCAACCAGCTACATGCAGAGTAGTGCTAGGAAGAATTGCGGGCTCTGCAGCAGGTCCGTTTTGGCTATCGCTATGAGACCCAACCTAATCCAAGGGCAAAGAAAAGGAAAAGGCGATTGATATAAATGCTCCTCCTTGGAAATTTTTATTACAAATATTAACAGATATATGAACGAATTTGAGATATGAACGAAATATGAACGAATATGAACAAAAGAGCCATTGACGTTGAATAAACGTATCTTGGATCTTCTTGATACAGGTCAAAAAGTTGTTTTGCTGTCAAAATTCACACAAATTATAAATTTGATGATAGTTGAATTATCATTTCCAATAGTTTTATAGATCTCAGGAGAACATAGTAGAGGATGCGGCCTGATCAAGACTCGCCGGCTATCGTCCAAAGTAAGGCGCTCAAGAAGAAAGCTGACTTACAATGAATACAATGAAAGTTTTGCTCACAATTAAAGCATGTGACCAATCACCATATGTTGGACTCTGTGTTCTATTCATTAAATTCTTTATAATTCTCGGATCATTCTTTAACGAATGAATGACATTCTTGTTCAACTGTTGAATAAATTAACTTCGAGCGTTATCTGCACAGTTTACTTTCATTGTTTCCCTGAATTACTTACCACCTGAAAGATCTACACTTTCATTTTGCATTCAATCGTTTTTTACTCAATAATTCTATGATCTGCAACGGCACTGGAGCTTAGTAAATTCCATCTTATTAACGTGCAACGGTTTGCCATCTCTGTCGAAATTGTCAACTCACGTCACCCTGCCTTTTTTGCTTCTTAGGCGCTTGTGATTTGCCGTAAAAATACGCGGGCAGTAACGATGCACAGCTGTGTGCGGTGTTGTGTTATTAGTGTACATGTACAACATGTGGAAGTTCAATAAATTGGAGCTAACACTTGCGTTCTATTGCTTTACACAGATTATAAGCTAATAAATACGCGTCGTCACTGTGAGCTGCATTTTAGCGGCGATAACAAAAATCTTAATTCAGATTTTGTACAAATCTACAAATTTTTTATAGTCAGTTAATAATGGAGCATAATTTCATAACAAAATTGCTCGTTTAACAGCATATATGATCTTAAGAACAGCGACACTGATATAAGAATGTACTACAACGCCCAGAATCTCGATATGCTAATTTATCTTGGCTGTACTGCTGATGACAAGTGTATTGTGTCACCTGTCGCCATCCCTAAACCCACATCTGCATACATAGAGAAATAATCCATTTGAAAACAACCTAAATATCATTTAGAATACTTTTATTCTAAATTCTGCATTAAACCGAGAAAACGAGTTGGAGTCCAAAATAAGCTCCTGTTGGTAGTCAGGATTTTTGAAATAACTTTTTGCTTGCCTGGAAATAATGTATAATTGACAAACATTATCAGCTCGAAATTACTCATCTCATCAGTTTGTAGCAATTTAAATAACGAACAGCGATCTAACGTTACTGGGACGGTCACAAATGGACGCAGTTTACAATCTAGAAGGACCTTGTTTTGAAGATGCAAATGTCTCGGCGAGATGACAGACCAGAAGACGCTGACGACAGATGGCGGCTTAGCGGAAGGGTTCCGCAAAGTGCAAAAACGACGGATCTTTTGAAGGAGCTGCAGCCGAGCACACATTCTGCTTGGAAATGTGTCGCCTTGAGAAGCAATGATTGAATTTTTCATTTTAAATGTGTACTGATGATCCAACGCTGTCCTGGGTCCAGTTATGCAAGGATGCCATATGCAAGACGATTAAGGAAGCAAAAGCTAAATAATCACAGTTACGAGTTTACTTCCGAGCTATTGTGTAGGCTGACTATTGCGAATTCCCTCTCGGGCTGACACATAAAAGAACAGATTGTGCGCAGAGAGAAGCGATTTGATACAATTAAGAGAATTCAGCAATAAATTACTGTGAAAGGAGCTATGTCGCACTTAATGTTAAATTAACGTAAAATTAAATTCTTTCTCACAAGTTAGTCATCTTCTAGACCGTTTTATAATGCTTGTATTTAATTAAAATGTAATTAATGTTTTTAATAAAATTTTTATTTAATTAAAATTAATGAATTAAAATGAATTAAAAAAAATTAAAATGAATTAAATTTAATGAATTAAAATGTAAGCTAATAACACAAATCCCCGGAATGTTCCCGATACTCTTAAGACAAGAACAATACAAGCAAATATTCGCCTATACGATCGCGTTGCAACGCTCCACCACTAGTGCACTCAGTCACAAAAACTTTCGTTCGACTCCCGTTACAAAAACTTCTTATTTGTCTTTTAAATTAAATTACTGATCGATCATTTTAAAAATCTACTTTACATTCTCGGGCAAATTAATTATTTTAATTTTTTTAATTTCATTACTATTTCTACACTAAGAATATACTCGTATTTCCCGGCCCGAGTAATACGCTCTGTAATACGCTTTTTGAACAGCCCTTCCATATATACAGGGGCAAGCTACAAACACCAACAATATTTTTACCAATATATGTACGGTTACCAGTCTTGTTATCATAATCATTTCAACTGGTAGCGGCTGATGCCTGTGATGCGTGCACAATTCACCACTATTCATAAATGGACTTCTTCTTAATTCCAAGAATGTCTCTAATTTAAAAACTCATTGATTGCCGTGATTGTTATGAAATGGAAAATAAAGACACGTTATCGGTGGCCACATTGTGGCCAATGATTCTTCTTCCTCGGTTGTCAGGGATTTATTAGTAGGGATGTGGGCCAGACTTTGATCTGCAACGGCACTGGAGCTTAGTAAATTCCATCTTATTAACGATCACAATATACACGCCGGCACCTGCACGTCCTCCATCACAATATACACGCCTGCACCTGCACGTCCTCCATCACAATATACACGCCGGCACCTGCAATTCCCTCCATCACAGACCGTAGGCCCTTTACAAACTCCGTAGATTTTTGAAGCTGTGAGGGTTTGCCTTCACATCAAAACTGCACACCAAAAACCATGAGCGGTATTCTCGTGAGTCGTGACCGCCCCGTTGCTGTGTTGTAAATTTATAGCGTCGGTATCAGGCATGCATGTCGGCTTGCGAGCCCATATATCCGCGCTTTGTAGACCCTTTCTGTGGGTCGGATGCTCTCAACCAATGTAACGGGAATATTATTTTATGATAAACTTAGTGCGAGAGGATCTCATTCAACAATGAATTATGAACGCATTCTTGATCAGAACTTCGACGGCAGATTCATTAATGAAACCATCTGCTAATGATCACGAAGAACATAATTAATCGTTTCTATAATCCACCAGAAAATAGTGTACATTATTTTCTTTAAGAAATTCTGACTGCCCTCTGACGATTCAAATGAAAGAACAAATCAGGCATTCCTCATGAATGATAGACAACTCTACGTTATTTCTATTTCAGAAAAAGAGGTCATCCATAGGCTGTGAATTCTCTCTGAGCTTGAGCATACATCACTTTTCCTGTCGGCTCTCTATAGACATTCACTTTAATATCGAGGCGCTGGGACGTCGAGCCACCGTGGGATCTTCTATCTCAGTCCGGAGAATGCATCTGGTGAAGCTTTCTTTCTTCCATGCGTTGCTGTCCAGGATACCACGCTCGACTGCCAGCTGATCAACTATCGGCTGATTATCTGACGTCGCAACTACTGTAACTGCTTTGCTCCACAATTGAAAAACTAAAAATGCATGTTAGAAAACTTTGAACCCTCAGAACACGTTGATGGACTACGGACTTGGATGGATTACTATCTATACCAACTAACTTTTAACGGAATTCTGCCTTTGATTTTTTTCATGTCAGCTGATTTTTGACTTAATTTAAATAATACGTTTTGTGTAAACAGATCGCATTCATTATTAGTATTATCAACTTATTCATATAAGTACTTTCTTCATAATTGCAACCTCATCACGCAAGAACTGGCTCCGTCGATCCCAATCCAGAGTGATCATCTCGCAGTGAAGGTCCCTAATCCTGATCATCGCGTGCGGGTTATCAAGATAATTGTGTCCGTAGTGAGCATTTGCCACGCAAACTTTCTCTTAACAATAAAAAAACTACCGAAACTTGAATGAAATTTTAGGATTACACCGAGTTTTGTTTCTATCATCAATATTTAGTTAAATACGTGATTAACCATCAAACTGATTTTCTCTTCAATTTTAATATGTTCTCATTTAATCTCGTTAAATTTCGTTCAGCGATTTACAAAGATTGGGTCCATGTCAATATTAGCAATAAAGAAGCCGGTTGCAGCTTCGGCAGCGCTGAAGTGGGCCTTGCTTGCTTAATTTAAATTGATATCGACGCCCAGCTCGTTCATGTGTCTCTGTCCACAACACGTCGTCATCTCTTGGATACGAAAGATGAAATGGTCAACATTAGCATTTTGAACCACACTGTCGCTATCGGTTGATATTGTAAGTACAGTGGGAAAGTAGTAATTCATCTAAAGAAATAATTCATCTAGTTGTTGTGCCGTCTTAAGTAGTAAAGTTGTACAATATTAACAGATGTAAGACATTAACGCATTCATAACCAATCTAGAAGTGTCGAAAAGTCACGGCTTTCAATCTGAACTAAATAGTTGTAATAGACATATTTTATTTTCATGTTTGTGTGCGACTTGAACAGAGAAAGTCCAAGCCTGTCGCACGTAGCGCGGTGTCACGTTTCGCCGACGCGTGACGAAGCTGCGCGTATTCTGCCTGCGACTCCTTTGCTCTTGCTCCAAATTGAGGAGGTGGCTGGGTGAAGCCATCCGCACTCCATCGGTCTCTCGGACACAGAAAATCGGTCACGACAACCAAATCGAAGTTGCTAGGCTTAGGTCTATGAGAATGAAACTAGGGCGTGTTAACCACTTTCCTGGTAATGACATGCAGTCGTTTTCAGTGCTTGTCATTCTCTGAGACATTCGTCAACATTTATTATACTTAAATAAATTTGAGTTTCCGCACGTGAAGCGCGGCAACCCATTTTCGCGCTCGCGAGCATCACTTTAATTGTTTAACACCTAATCTTAAGTCAATTTCTTCGTTTTCATAACATTCAAGCGTACTACTATTCTTTCAATTTTTCTATCCAACTTCTACTATTCCTACTGATTTCCGGTAATTTTCTTTAATTGTACTTCTTGAAAACTGCCACAACCACCAACAATAAAGCCTCCGGTAACTTATAACTATTTATGAGACTATTTATTTGATTACTGTAGATCCATAGTTTTCTACTCGGGTGATTTGAAAGGTCCATGATATGAATTAATTTCCTTTTCAGCATCCTGCATGGAATTTTCCTATGCCACGATTGCGTAATCATTACTTTAAATAAAAAAAATAAGGCCTGAACCCAAGCTGCCGAATTGACCAACACTCGCATCGCATTCATGAAACCAATTTTCATCCAATTAATTTTGTATTCGCGGCGGTCGGAATAACTGACCCCATTTAAAAGCAAATCTACCTCTCACACCGAATTTTTAAAACCAAATTGTTTTGTTGAACAACTAACCCGATTGATTTAAACTTTGAATTTTCCATGATTATTTCACTTGCTATACCTATACGGGTGGTGAGATAGCGTCACAATGTTCTCCGTGAGGAAGCCATTAGATTGTTTTTTTTTTATCCCTGGTGTGTTGATCTGTTAACACACGAGCAATATTGCTTCTGATAAAATCACGTCCATTCATTTAATTAAATTTTCGTCTCCAAAAAGAGAGAAAAAATTATATTAGATATAAATAAAATATTTAAGCATGTATTTCTAACTTAAAACATTATCCTGAGCCTATCAGAACCATGATGTGTCCGGTTCCATCAAATGGGGACTAATATGACGGAAGTTATAATGAGAGCATGTATGTATTATAGTCAATAATCCTCCTAATAGCCAGCTGGTGTATCTTTATTTCGAAAGCAGCATCAACCGCAAGCTTCCTTCTCATCGTTAAAATTTCAATCGCAACGGCTTGAAACATCAATGAGAATCTATCTTTTTTTTAGTTATCTCTATGTTAGTAATTGAATTATAAGTCCACAACTCTGTTGTGATTCATGGACGAAAGCTCCTCAGCACCAGCTGCAGGCGGCGGCCAGTTGAAGTGCTGACGCTGTTAACGATACCTGCAGTCTAGCGTAGGTCTCTCTTGTGAGTGGTTGTGCGTCATACGTCCTTCTCTGCGGCCTGACTTGAAGCTCGGTGAAGCTCTAGGGCATTGCACCCCTTTGATGAAAGTGAACGATGAAATGACTAGATAGTGTATTTGACCATAAGCTTTTATACTAGCGATCCTTTTTCTTCAACTTTAACATTAAAAATTTTTAATTAGATATGAAATCCAGTGATTTTCTGACGAAAGATAAAATAATTTATAAAACAATGTCATTTGTTAGGAATACCTTACACGGCGGCTTGAGTTCTACAAGACCACAACTTCGACTCAGTACATTTTGCGTCTTACAAGTATTGCTCTTAGCTACATTTTGTGCGACTGTCTCGAGTGCCGGTAGAAATGATGCTGCTGTGTCAGAAGAAAGACTACCGTACTCTGCGCGCCACAGTAGGGTATTGGATCAGAATGGCATGCATCCTTTTCCACTCACCAACTACGATCTAACCAACGCTCAGTCCAGTGCCAGAGCCAAGACCCTGCAACGTCTCATGAACCAGCGACAGCGATCCCTTCTGCTGGAAAATGGACAAGCAGTTTCGTCTCCAACTCGCTTCATGTACTCCTCTGACAACGAACAATTCTCGCAACGTAGTGGCAGAACAACGAAGGACGAGGTTCCTGTCATGAGTGAAGGAATATACGAAGACGATGACACAGGGAGATCGTTTGCCCTGGGCAGCATGATCGAGCAGCTCAGCTCTGCCCTCCACAGATCCCTCGTCAGGAGCCGCGCGTCCTCGGCAAAGTCAGAGGGTCGGCAGCAAGCGGCGTCGCCCAAGCAGCTCAGCAGAAATCAAAACCAGGTGAGTTTGCAATCAAAATCTCGCATTCTCTGCACTTAAATCTTGGGTCCGGAAAATAATATTTCCCGAGAGTTTCTTTTCTGTCAGATTCTGACTCTTTATTGAACAAATCTCATCTTCTTCTTGATGTTTTTCTCTTATTTCTGTTCTACAGCTATACAAAATTCCAGGCGTAATTTTATTTTCCTCAGAAAAGAGCAACTAACGCAATAACTTCCATTTACAATTACATTTACAACATAAATTAAACTTTGTTCAAATTTTTTTCAATAAGGTCAGAACCTTTGCCTAAATTATGTTTATTTTACTACTTGATTTAATAGGCAGCTCAATTTCGTTATTGTTTCAGTCTCTGATATATTCTCTGAATATCAAGATAAAGACGAAATTTTATTTTCCTAAGCAAGAATATAATTAATTCATCTGTGATAGGGTCTGAAAGGCAGTGAAGATCTCTTTCACATAATTTGGTGATAAGTCGTCGAGCACTCAACAATCTTCTGTTTACTTAGCCTGCAATGAATCGCTATTGCTCCTTGTGATGTTATATAGTGAATTTTTTATATCAACAACAATATCACGGAGCCACCCTAGGCTAAGACTCCGTTGGAGCAGGAGTGGTTTCTTTTGCGGGATTCATGCTAAGCGTAGCCATAGCAACTTTCATATGCACCTCTTCAAATCTCCCGCTCACAAACGCTATTAAATAAAAGGCAAACTTCAAAACACGCATTATTATATGAATGTAGGTGACTTTCAGATCGGATTCTAAAGTAACCATGCTAATCCATGGAGGAAAAGAAGTCAGCTGAGTTATGTATGCATGCGTATAGATTCTAAATTGATTCCAAATATTCGTCGATCTTGAGGCGCAGATCTTATAAATTCTCTAACGCCACTCGGAATTTTCATCGCTAGCTTCTACTGTATAAGACTCCGTTGGAGCAGAAGTGGTTTCTTTTGCGGAATTCATGCTAAGCGTAGCCATAGCAACTCTGTCAGATTCTGACTCTTTACTGATCAAATCTCATCTTCATCTGGATGTTTTTCTCTCATTTCTGTTTTACAGCTATAAAAAATTCCAGGCGTAAATAATATATTTACACGGTAGCATTGTTCTACCGTGTGTCCATTCTTGTTTTTTTTTTTTTTTTGCCGAATAATTATTAATTCAGCGTTGATAATTTTAAAATAATGGTTCCTCTTTGGTCTTTAGCTTAAACATTTTCATTTAAATTCATATTCAAATTTGTATCATGCAAAAGTATTGAATTTTCTCAATTCGATGTTGTTTTTTCAACGTACATTTCCTCTAAGTGGATCCGTACGATCGACTTGTGCCCCATGTTCATGATAAATCATAATATTGAATGGCATCAACTTTTCTTCAAAGAATTTTCATCTCCGTTCTCGGGATACGAGAAGAGAGGGGCTGGCATGGCCTGCATAAGCAGCGTTGCGTCCAGGCTTTCACTCGCAGCCATGAGAGCCGCACTCCGGCTCTCCTTTACTCGCTCGTCCTCCTTCACATGAGCCAATGTATTGAATGAAGGAAATCTTACGTGTATCTCAATAGTGGTCTACAAAAAGCTAATTTTTAGCTGTATTATCATTCATAGTGGTTAAAGATTCGATTTGTATTTAACAAAATTTAAATTTATGGAACTTTTGATAGCTACACATGATACACTAAATTAGTTAATTAAGGGGAATACGATATTCCCAGACTATGCAGAGTTCTTGGTAAACAACTAAATGCTGTTACCGGCATTAGTAGCGCCACATGCAGTTACCATTTATAAATGAGATTCGTGCATCGGGCACTAGAAATTATAGAAATAAACTAACTCGACCGTTTGTGATTTTCTTTCACCAGAAAGTGATGAAGAGCCTACCGTGAACAATATCAAGGGTTAAATTTTACCCATAAGTAACACGATCATTAAAAGACGCGTTGCAAAATTTCCTGTCGCACCTTTAATCTCAAAGTTTCTAAAGATTTGTAAAGCGAATTTACGATCAGAACACTTTTGAAGCTCGATATTAGTGCGACCAATAATAGTCGTCGCGTTATTCTTCACAAACTTGCTGGGAGAAAAAAATACGTTTATTTTCCAGTTCACAAACTGCCATAATCATCTCATTCCTTGGTAAATGATAGTGGACGTCGAAAATAATGTCAATGGACGCATAAAGATATGAGCAATTCGCTCCAGCGCCGTCAGTGGACCCGTTTGTTTCTTGACTTTCTCCATAAGAACAAAAGCAGAGGCCGCTGTGTTGCTCCGTGCTGTGCGACCCCTAGGAAATCTTGCCACGGACTTCATCGATGTCGACCAGTAGGAAAGTTTGTAGCTTGAATATTGCGAAGAATGCATAATATTCAGCCTTGATCGGTAATAAGTCTCATAACTTCAATATTGGTATTGCGGTGACTAACCTTCCTTCGTTTTTTTTCCTGTTCCCTTTCCTGTTAACTAACCAAACCTTTACCTAAGACTTTTGGATGCCACTTAAACCAAAGAATGTTAAATTTCCCTGCGGTAAAATTAGATATCGGCGTTTTAACTTGTCGCTGGAAAAAATATATTATGAATGGACATTGTGACTGCAGGCAAATTACTGTAATCATCGAAGAGAAATCAGGACCAGATCACCGGCAGCCAAATCAAGATCAGAGTAAAAGATGGGTCATGCGTGATATGAGTTTCCGGACCCATGGAGACACCCTCTATTCATCGTACTCACTTTACTCGCGTTTACATAGAACTGTAATCACGCGGCGCTGGAAAGACATTAAACACTCGTCATTTAAAGGTAAATTGTACGCAGCATGACTGCAATTATTTCAATAATTCAGTCTTACTTTCTCAGAGATTCGTCATTTAGCCGTGAACTACAAGGGCCGCCAGAGCGGTCCTGCATGTGAAACGTGGAGAATGTGGAATTTCGTAGGAAATTTTTAGCGCTTATGATGCACGAAGGTGTTATGTTATAGCAGTTTACCACGTGGCCGATCATGATGTACGATGGTGTTGATACAGTTCATCACGTGTTCGCGTATGATGCACGATGGTGTTGATACAGTTCATCACGTTATTCGCTAATAATGCACGATGGTGTTGATACAGTTCAACACGTGTCTGCTCATGATTCACGACGTTATTGATACAGTTCATCATAATCAGCATCGTCGGCCAGTCAATCGGCGAACTCCTTAAGAACCCTGGTTCTCGTTTCCAGAATTCAAATTTGTTATCGAGATTTCTAACGGCGAGTCCTCAAGTCAGCAAATCTGCAGGATTAGAGCCGGACATGATAAATTTGTAAACACATTCCAGGTTATGTTCTTTCTTCAAGGTTTACTGAAATTGTCGAATATCTTTATTCCTATTATTAGCAAGAACTTGTTGGTCATCACTTCTTTGTTTACTATCCAAGAAATAGCAATTTGAGAATGTGTAGCAAAATATACGCGAAAAATGCGCGTTCTGTCCGAGGCAACAATTATGTTCATTAAACATTTGCAGGCAAGAAATACTGCAAGTAATTCCAAAGTGGGGAGCATTTTGCTCTGAAAGGCGCAACGTTAGTTTTGCTAAACAACAAGTTAGAAGCTTTATTATCGTCCCTTCCACGGACAGTGAAGATATTTAACTTTGACGCATCTGTAAAAATAAACAGGTTTACGTCATCGGCTGAGTCGAGAGCTTGGCGGTCAAAGCTTATTTTGAAACTTGGTTTAAATCCTGTCTCGGCCGAACCTAGGTCTTGTTTGGTTCCTCTTTTAATTCATCGTCCCATCCAAGCTTTATCATCCAAATTACCCTCATTAAATTCTTTCTCCTCACAGTGATGGGATTGACTAGACCAAACGAATCGAAACACTTGGCAAGACTCGACAGAACCTGACGTTTGGTGCAAACATCGCCAGGAATCTCTTCGCTCTCTACATAGACAAACAAACGTCAGAATCCAGCGAATAGCGGTAGCCCATAATCCTTTCTGTAGGTTTACCGTGATCGACGCAACACCGTCCTCTGCGAAGGCAACATTCAACTCCTGACAATTCGATGCCCACGAACGTAAATCAAAATCTGCACCAAACATTCGCGAATAAGCTGTGCTATACAAGTAGTGCAACATTCGAGGATCATTGCAGGTCATAAATAAATTGTCCACGTAAAGTGCATTGAGGAGAAAATGGTAGCAGTGGTCTGAAGAATAGTTACGGTATGGTGCTTTATATAACATAATCCAATATAATAGGGGTAGCAACGTACCCGATAACAATCGTGGTGTGATGATAAACAACCAAGCGACCTTCCTTCTCCCACAAAATACAGAACCTGCTACGATCTTTTTCGGTGGCCAACTTTATCTGCAAGAAGGCCCTACGGATATCTGACAGAACCAAATATTTGTCACACCTTAAACCAATTAGGAGATTCAATATATTTTCATCAATTTGACTCCCGGGAGGACGGCTTCGTTCAACGAGGGTTCTTTACCAATCTTCGCACTGCAATTCAACACTGGTCTCACTTGCGTGGTGCACGTTGGATCGGATTTGACGACCTCACGATGCGGGATATAGATTCGATGCTCCCTTTCACGAGGCTGCAAAGTCACCTCCTCCAAAATACCGTCCTGCAATTGCTGCTGCAATTTTCAATCTCGACAACACACGACTAAGGACCGCCCGAGCAACACAAAAATTATTTTGAACTATATCGACCTTTTCATTCCAAAGTAGTTTAACATGATATCTGCCATCTGTCAACTCTTTGCCGGCAGCAAATGCGTCTACTTTAGCCCGGTCAGAGTCAGTAACGGTATTGTCTTCTGTCAATCAAAAAGATTCTAAACTGAACATTTCTTCGACATTTCCTTCAACCTGAGTTTCAGGAATCACGCCAAGGATATGGTCTTGATACCGGGGAACAGGCAGCAAAACAAAATCAACACACGATTGAAACTCATTATTTGCTCTGTTTGGG